CTCCCTCCCTTCCTCCCTCCCTCCCGTTCTCCTCCGCCCCTTTGTGCTTCCGTACAACAGTGTACAATGAATGTGCGAGAGTGTGCGCCCTTATGTCATTGGTGTGACCTGGAGCGGAGCCTCCCGACGACGCGTTGGGTCGCTGACTCCCCGCGACAACGTTGTTTGATATCAGTATGACCGTCGCGACCGCGCGCGGCAAGAGAGGGAGAGCAGGAGGGACGACGACGACAGCGGGTGTGATGCCACCGCCGTCGTTGCTGAGATTTCTGAAATAAAAGCGGAGAGAAGCAGCAGCAGCCCGCTCAAAGGCTCTCGCGGATCAAATCATCGCGAATTTCTTTGATAACGCCGGGACCGATAGGCGACGCAGAGATAAGCATCGGTGAGGTTCTGCTCAGCTGGGCAACCGTGGCACAGTGCATGCATGAGCAGAGGCAACCTCCCGGGGCCCACCACCACTTTAACCACTTTGCAGCGAGCATTACACGCAGCGGCGCAGCGCACTGTGCCACCACTGCGCCGCTCTCGGTGGCGCGCACAGAGACAACTGCTCTCCGCATGCCAACTTGTTGTTGTGCTTTCGGTCGGCGGGTGTGCGCGCCGCCGCAATGTGCGCGGCGCGGCAGATGCGATTGCGAGAGAGAGACAGAGAGACAGTGAGAGAGACAGAGCGAGAGAGTACCATGCTGTGGGACGTAGACCAACAACCGGCGCGCCTCATCCCGGTTCGGATCGCACGCTCAGTTCGGTGTAGTGGGCACTCCGCCCGACCAACCAAACTCGGCAGGCGGGCCCCGATAAAGTATTAACCAGCTGATCAGTCACGCTTTGATTTGGCCGTCCTCGCTTCCGAGCCAGCTCTACTACTACTTTGGGCCACCGTCTCTCGACCATAGGCAGCGAATAGTCATGAGCTATATCGGCCACCCCGCGCTTCGCCTGCTTTTTACCTTGCGCAGCAGCAGCATCGCCCTGAAGACCAGGTACTTGAGCCAGAACCGCGGCCCGGGCACCTGGTACTTGCCGAAGATGGGCGCCGGGTTCTTGGCGAAGAACATGACGCTCGCCAGGGTGAAGAGGATGTAGAGCCACATGCTGGCGGAAGCTCGCTCGGAGGCGCACTGGCCCCGCCGGCGACCCGGTGGGGACGCCCTGTGGCGGCGGGGCCCGGCTTCCCGCCTGATATGATAGAGGAGCGCTCAGGTGCGCCCAGAGTGGCCGGCTCGTTGATAGTACGGATAGTACCCGACGGCGTGGAGTGGAGTGGACAATGTTGCCTAGCCTAGCCAAAGATTTCTCAACGACAAATCCACAGTTCGAAATCCACAGACACAGGGAATTAATGTTTTGTGTGAATATTAAGCACACGGAGAATGTCGTGATTACTTCGCTTTAATCACAAGATCAATGATACAATGCTAATACAGTACGTTCGTTTTTTCATTGTTCTTAAACTAAAGTACGAAACTCATGTTTACTTTATCTAATACTCTACGTTCACATAAAAGGTTCTGCTGGTTATCGCGTCTAACAAAATTTGAACACAGACAGTTTGTAATGTAACAAGAAAGGCACATTGGTGATCGTTTAGATTTGATCCGCTAAATATATTGAGCATGTCTCATACACGTACCTAAAGGGTAGAAACAGTCAATGATACGTAGTATTAAAGGTAATTGCTTCGTTCACACTTGCCAAACAGTACCAATTGAAGACAACTGTACAAGAAATTTGAGTGTCATTTTAGTAACCTATGTTATATGTATCTATTACATTGGTTGTTCCCAAAAATATAATGTCATCGTCGTAAGAAGATATCTAAATATGTAGCACACAGACAAATATCACGACTATTGCCTTTTTTGTTTTTGTATTTTGGAAAAATATAGTTTACTGTACACAAACACCGTCATGAAAGAGAACAAAATCACTGAACATGGAGAGGAATGCGAATGGGCGGTCTCTGATCTTATGAATGCTCTCTGACGGTGCGTACTGTACTCCTGCCCGGACCCCGGACGCCCAGGGGTCCCAAGTCCCAAACGCTGCGTCTGTCTGCTTGCTCTCTCCCTCTCCCCCCCGCCCGGGTGTGATCATAAAGCACGACGCCCATTACGACCGGCGCTACTGGTCGGAGGTGGTCAGATGGATGGCCAGTCGTTGCCATGAATCCTTTGTGGTATGCTCGACCCCCTTCCTCCCTCTACCCCCGTCCCCCGCCCACCGTGCCGTGCACCCGACCTCACAATTGATTCCCCTCAACTCGAACTGATACCCTTCCAACGCCTCTTTCACCTTTGTGTGGGCGACTGGCGAGAGGGAGCGTCGTCGCGCTGTGCAGTCAAGGTGCTCTGTGCTGCTCCTCTGTTGGGGAAACCAGCCTCGCCAGAACTGTCAAGGTGATATGCACAGTGAAAAAATTACCCCGAGAGCAAAACATTTTCTGCGATGACATTCAATTCCGGCTTGAGCACTACTTTTCGATTGTCGTTTTAATGGGGATGGACCTGTCGCTGGTCATTCACATCGGTCTGCCGCTCACACATGCGACTTATCTCTTTTTTTCCCTCGACGCTCTGTCTTCTCCCCTACCGCCCCTTCCCTCAAAAAATGGGCGAAGAGGCAAGGCGGCAGGCTTTTAGGTCCGAGCCAGCGGCCCAGAGAAACCCCCACTTCTCCCTCTCCCGCCCCCTTCCTCTCTTTTTTTTAGGAGGCAGCGCAGGAAAGACACGATGGGCGTATTGCCGTTGTAAAGCCCTTTGGCCTCTCCCTACCGCCCCCTCGCCCCGATGTCCCGATATCTTTGTTTTTCCTTTATTTTTCCCTCTACTGTGAAACGCCTTCCCCGTCCCGCGCACCTAACTCACTTCCTCCTCCCCCACAGCAGATGCGGCCGGGACAGGAGCCATGTTCGCCCAAACAATAGTCCAGTAGGAATTCCCTCCGGCTCCTCCTTCCCTCTCCTTGCTTACGCCCTGCCCCTCCCCCTTGTCCACTGAATAATCAGGGTCAGTATTTCGAACGGGGCTGGCCGAACCTATAGCGCAGCGAGCGTAGTGATTCCCCCACCCCCCTCCCGATAGACCTCTTCCCGTCGTCTTTCTGGCTCCACACTCGTTGACAGAGGGGCACAGGGCGGGGTCGCGCGGACCCTCTAAACACCATGTCGAACTGCACCTGAGTCTATCGATACATCGACTTCCGTTTCCGAAGCTCCCCTCTGCTGCCCTGCCCTCCCACTTTCACTCTCCCCTCCCCTACATCGTATCGTCACCCCTGCGCCCCCACCCCTCTTCCGGTTGTTCCACAGCAGACGTTCCAAATCTCTCCGGGGAAACTTACTCCGTCCGGTTCGCGAACGAAACAAACCGTTGGTGATTTCTGTGTTTCCGCTCTTTTGTTGCTCACCGTATGGTTTGTTACTGTCGGCAGCCCCGGTGGAGCCGTCTGGGGCGTCCGGGCATGGGGGAAGGAGAGGGCGGGGGTGCAAGACGTTCTCAAGCACCCCCGCCGCTCCCACCCCATGCCTTGAAACTCATTCCGCTCACAATTCATTCCCAAGAAAAATGGATTTCCCGCCGCCCTGTCGTCTTTTCTTTTTCGCTCTCTTCATTCGCACCGCGCGCTGCGTGCCGCGACGCAGCTGGGCTCGGCCACGGCGCCAGGGTGGCCGACATTCGGACACAAAGGATGGAGGTCAGCGTGGCCAACCCGCTGGAGTCGCGGAGACGAGTAGAATATGAATAAGGGGGAGGGAGGGGGCGGGGGCGCGAAACACTTGACAGGACACGGACACACCGCGGGCAGCCGCCAGCCGCCAGCCCCTCTGCGTATGTCCGGCAGAGAAGTCACTGCTCCGGAACGAGAGGGGCAGACGTGAAGGGAAACTCTCTGGCCGTGAGTCGCGTCTAGTTGGCAACAGCTCTCGTTTACAAACAAATAAAACATTTTTTAAAAAAGAAAAAAGTTCTGACCACGGCTGTATTTTGGCAACGCCAGTTTGTGGAAGTGAATATGGAGGGGCTGGCGGTTGCCCCCCCCCCCTCCCACCGCGCCTCCCATGGGACCCATGGCGGCAATGGCTGCGATGGAGGCGAGAAAGTTGGTCACATCGCGGACTCCATTGGCTGCTAATCGAAAAATTATTCAGTATATTAACCCGCAGAGGGCGTGGCATGGCGTGGTGTGGGGTGCGGCGGCGGCGAGGCGCTGTGCGCTGCGCCTCGGGGCGGGGCCGACTCGAGTTGGGCAGACCCGACCGCGAACCCCCCGGCGCGCACCTCAAACACCACAATAATAACGTCCGCAGTCAGGAGTCAGGCACTCCACGGGATCGGGGGTGGGCAGAGCAAGGCGGGGCAGTGCTTAGCAGCGGCGCCCAGCAGCGCCGACCAAGGCGAACCGTCTCTGGTAATCAGGTGGAGGGTAAAGCAAGCTAGACCCGCCCCCCCCCCCCTCCCCGCCTCCTCGCGCTCCTCCAGAGTTTATTGCATGGCAAGTCCCACAAAGGAGTTGGCGAATGGGCTTAGTTTAGGATGTGGGCCTCATATATGCGAAGAGGCGGGGCGCGGACGGGGAGCCTCACGCCCACATGCGCTTGCTGGAGCCGGATGGAGTCGGCTGGAGCCTTGGAGCCCCGCAGGACGCGCCGGCCGCGCCTCGGGGTCGGCGCTCTATTCTCCAGGAGACGAGCCCTAGGGCGCTGATGGGCAGCCGTCGCCTGCTCTGGAGGGCGGTCGCGGGGAGAGCGAGGACGGTGGAGGTGGCGGCAGCGGTGGCGACGGCGACGGCCCCGGCTGCGGGTGGGGCTGCTGCCCGCCGGGCTGGCCTACGGGGTGCCCCGGGGGGTGCGCGGTGGGGTGCCCCGGGGCAGGGAACGGCATGCCGCAGCCGATGGGGTGGCCGAGGGGCTGCTGCCCCGCGGCCAGGGCGGCGGCGCTGGCCTTGCGCGGCCGCGCCTGCAGCACCCAGATGAAGGGCGAGTCCTCGTACTGCGGGTTGGGGTGCGGCATGGCGTGCAGCTGCGCGCCGCCGCCGGCGCACGGGCACGCCGCGCACGGGCACTGCACGGGCACCGGCACGGGCACGCGCACGATGTGCACGGCGGGCGGCAGCTGGTGCTGCACGACGTCGTCGCGCTCGTCGTCCTCGGCGTCCTTCCGCGAGGGCAGGTCCGAGGCGAATGCCACCGTCTTGCGCTTCTGCGCCGGGGGCGGTGTGGTGGTGGCGGGCTGCTGCGGGGGCGGCGGCGTTGACGCCCCAGCGGCTTCCCCGTCCCTGGGCGCCTTGGAGCCCGCCTTACCGCCGGCCTTCGGTCGCCCCTTGGACGCTCGCGTCCGGGCGTCTGGCTGACTCGCGGCTCGGAGAGGCCGCAGTGCCAGGGCTCCCTCCGGCACCTGCGGGGGCCTCGGGGCCTGCGGCGGGCCCGTGCGCGGGGGCGGGGGGCCCAGGCCCGGGGCCACCCCGTTGAGCGCCGGCCGTCATACGGCCGATACGCCGAGGTCTCCGCCCGGCACGGTGGTGTCCGAGGTCACGTCCGTCGAGGAGGTGGCGTCCGTCGCGTTGGGCGTCGAGAAGGGCGAGAAGGTCAAGTCCTTGCCGAGTCTGTCGGCAGAGAAACAAAAGTCCGGTAAGACGCACACTGACTGTAGCTCTCCGTGTCTATCCTGCACCAGCAGCAAGCAAGCGTACGCACCTGGAGATGGGGGAGCCGCCGAGCGCGCCCTTGGGTTCCTGCAGCGCGGAGTCCGCCACCCTGCGTCAGAAAGGCCAATAAGCGCTCGTTGAGGAAGAACGGGTTGACTGGATAATGCGCGGTGATCGCAGGGCGCGGCTGCAGCTTCTATGGAAGCGGCTGAAAGTTTTAACCGCGGTCCGCCCGGCGAAATAAGCGTGGCAAACTCTCAGCAGCCCGCTGCGCCGTGCTTTGCGCCGAGCTTCCGGAGGTGCGCCGTAGCCTCCTGTCCGACCCGACCGGGAGCGCCTCACATTCACTGCGACTCTGCAGCCGGCTCGCGTTTAATCCGTACAGAGTTTCAGCTCCCGGAAAAGTGTTCGCGATCCTGTTATTGTTCGCAGAGCCGAAAAGTTGGCCGTTGGCCGTGCCTGGCTCTGTTGCCGCCGGGGGGTGGGGGCCCGGTCCACAATAGAGCGTTGAGGGTCGGTGAGGCCGTCCGGGTCAAGACACGCGCAACGCCAGTACCATAGACACAACAGGTGAAACACCGTGCACCCCACCCTCGACCCCACCTCAAATCAAAATAACAACAAAATTAAATAAGTACTTTATCAATGTCTAGAAAAAAATTGAAAAGTTAATATTGTTGAGAAA